GTCCCATCAGAAGCCTTTTTGGGTCATCTTTTCTCAAGGTGAAGCTTACATCTTCAAGTTCACACCTTTAGCGCCAAGCTCCACCTTTTACCACCAAGAATGCTTCTTTAAACAAGAACACACCTTCAAGAACATTCTCAAGAGTTAAAGCTCACGAACACAAAAGAAAGAGATGATATTTTTGAAGAAAGTTTAAGAACACTTACACTAGAACTCAAGAGAACTAAGCAAGGATCTGTTGTTCTTCAAGAGAACTCAAGAACACAACTCTGGTCCTTGAACTCCCAAAAACCATGGCTGTATGGTGGTGTGAGGAACTCGAAAATTTGATCCACACCATGAAAATGGTATGGTTGTGAAGAGGAGAGTGAGAGGAACAAGTTTGTGAAGGAGATTTGGTGATTTGGTGAGGTTTTGGAGAAGAAATCTTAGAGAGAAGTGAGAGCAAAGTTTGAAGTTTCAATTTTAGAGAGAGAAGTGAGAAGAGGGCTGATTCAGAATGAGGGGGAAGGGGAAGGGTGCCCTAATTAGGGGTACCACGTCACTTTAGTGGCATTTGTCCTTTAGTGAGACCTTGTATAATTTTTATCTGAATCATTATCAAATTTTTACCCGGAAATCCCCAAGACTCTAACTTTAAGTACTTAACATTAATATTGTCTAATTATCATGTTCATAACTAAAAATTTGATTAGTAGACCACGGATCTATTAACAGTTGTTTAATTGCACTGTAGTCTTTACCGGTGTTCTCAACTGTACCCGAATTTCATAATCTTCTCATCTTTTTCCCGTTCCGAGATTCTACCGGTTGCTTCTACAGCAGTACAAAATACCCGACAGAAGTGACTTTTCCAAAATACCCTGATATGGGTATCAAACTTCATCAAATCATATGTTAATCTCATTCATGATGTTTATATCATTAGATTAGCTCTCTAACTATAATTTGCTAACTTAGAGCTATTCTACTGACTATTATTGCGTCAGCAGTCAAAAATAACATATGAAAATCCATCTGTGTAAAATATCCTTAGTATGGATATCAAACTTCTTAAAATTTCATCCTCATTCCATTTATGATAATTATATCCTTAGAATAATCTTTTATCTCAGATTCCTTAATTAGGGTTAGTCAGATACCTGTTACTGCCACAACAGTACCAACTATTAGGTCAAAACTCACTTTCTCAGAATACCTCCAATATGGGTGTCAATCTTTACAGGATTGAATTCTAAACTCATCTATGATATTGATATTATTAGAATAACTCTATAACTCAGACTCACCTAATTAGGGTGATTCTACTGTCTATTGCTGCATCAGCAGTCATAATTAATAGGCAGAAATCCACCTGTTTAAAATACCAACAAATGGATATCAAAATTCATATAATTTCTTCCTTGATAAAACTTTGGTTTACCATGTTTTTAGGCTAAATTATACAAGAGTTATGTAGTAGAATGCATGGAATTCAAGGTTTTACAACATATAAGTCATAAGATAGGAAATTGAGCTGACGTTTTGATGTTATTTGCATTTTGAAGGTAAAACCACAAAGATTTGGTGCTAAAATTGCTAAAGAAATCATGACGAAGAAGTAGCGGCTCAATATGGAACCAAAGGAAGCCAAAATATTACAATTCAAGGGCCAGAAGAGCACGCTCAAGCGCACAAGAGGATGCTCGAGCGCTTAATAGCAGGGAAAGCAGCCAAATTGAGCAATCCAGGGCGCTCAAGGGCACAGATGCACGCTCAAGCGCCCAAGAAGACAATAATTTATCCTCGAGGAGCACGCTTGAGCGCCCAGTATCACGCTCGAGCGCCCTCAGGAAGGCAGAACAACAAATTGCAGGCAATGAAGCACGCTCAAGCGGCCAACAGCGCGCTTGAGCGCCCAAGCACGTTCCAGACAACAAAGATTTACTAAGATTTGCTGAGATTTTCCAATGGATACCGGATTTTGATATTCGAAATTAAAGCAGAAACATATCGACCCTGATTTAAAGAGATTCATGGAAGATTGAAGCAGGATTATAAAAAGATTCAAAGTCTTAAATATGTCATCAATCTACAAGATCTTAAACGCAAAAGGAAATATTTATAAAATCAATTACAAATCTGATACGAATACGGTGGGAGATGCAATGAAGGATGTGGCTTTGAAGATTATAAATAGGGAGCTGAGGGTCACACCAATTAACCAATTCACTAGTCCAGAGAATTACATAGAGATCTGAAGAGGAATCCTGTTGCGGAGCGCTGGAACACTGAGGAACCAAGTCAACATCACACCAATGGAGGCTTGGGGTTCTCTTTTATTTACTATTGTTTTTGAATTCAGTATGCTAGGCTAGTCTTTTATGTAGTTAGGGGTAGATGGAACCCAATTGAATTTTTATGTTTATGAATTAAATTGTCTCTAAATTATTTTCTTTTTATAATTGAATAAATTTATTTGTCTTTAATGCTTTCTATGAGTTTGCTCCTTATAGAATGATTTTGGGGAATTGTATGACAATAGGGATGTTGGTGCATGAACCCTGACTTGGTAAATTTATCATAATCCTTGTGATCTAGGAATAGACATAGAGTAATTGTGCAATCTTGAAATTCTTGATCTTAATGCATGTTTTATTGGGGAATAATTTGGGAACTAGAGTTCTTTCAAGATCACATAGATTTAGGGTAACAAGGAATTGAGCCCTAATTAAATTAGATAGAATTGATTGGCAATATATTAAGAAAAGGTTCTTGACTGTTTAATTCAAAAGATACCGAGGATATTGGGAAAAGTCAAAACCCTAACTACGCTTGTTTTGCATCTTTAATCAATCAACATTTTTTACAATTGTCTTTTTAATTCTGAATTTTCTTAATTGAATGCTATTACTTGTATTTAATTTTTAAGTTCTTTAACTACAATTCTCTCCAATCCAACTTTTTATTGTCCAACTAAAACGCGATTAGCGAACTAGTGCTTGAAGTTCATATCCTCGTGGGAACGATCTCGTACTCAGTACACTTTTATTACTTTATGACCGGTGCACTTGCCGAAGTCGCAACAAGTTTTTGGCGCCGTTCCTAGGGATCGAATTCTTCAACATTGGAAGTAACTAATTACCTTTTAGATTGGATTTTTTTTCTGCACTTTAAATATTTTCTTCATAAAAAATTCTGCATCAATTTTCTGCATATTTTAATTTTCTGCATTCTTTGTTTATTTTTATTTTTATTTTTATTTTTTCATTTTTTTGCACTTTCTATTTTTTCTGCACATCTTTTCAATCTTAGTTTATGCGATGTACTCTTAACCCGCGAATCTTGCAGTTTGATCTTAAGATAGAAAAGACAGAAAGGAAACTTAGGAAGGACGCAAAAGCAAAGAAAACGAAAGAAGCAAAAGAAACCTCAAGTGCAACGGAATCAAAGGAGGAACCAATGGCAGAAAACAATCAACTCGCTCTAAGGACCTTGGGGGATTATATGACTCCAGCCCGAGTTCCACAGACGACGAGCATTGTTAGACCGACCATAGAAGCTAACAACTTCGAGTTGAAGCCGGCGTTGCTACAACTGATTCAAAAAGATCAGTTCGCTGGAGGAAGCACAGAGAACCCCTATAGTCATCTTGCTCAGACTATTTCCATGCTCACTGAAGGATGATGCAAGAGCTTGGCTGCAGTCTCAACCTGAAGGAAGCATAACCAGTTGGGATGACTTAGCAAGAAAATTCTTCGCCAGATTTTTCTCATCTTCAAAGATGGAAAGGCTCAAATTAGAAATCACCGCTTTTGAACGAAAAGAAAGCGAATCTCTGTACGAAGCTTGGGGCCGATTTAAAGGATTACTCTGGAAGTATCCTCAACTTGGAATTGAAGCATGGGAGAAAGCAAGAATCTTTTTCCAAGGAATGACACCCAACACAAGAACACTGGTAAATGCTGCTGCAGGGGCCTCCTTGAAAACAAAAACTCCAGAGGAAGCACTAGAATTGTTGGAATCCTTAGCTTCTCAAGAATTTGACAATGCCCCAGTTGCACAAAGGAGATCAGGAATTATGAAGCTCGACGGCTATGATGCAATCTTAGCCCAAAATGAACAAATGCTGCAAATGCACAAGAAACAACACGAACAATTAGATACTCTTACTAAACAATATAATCTTTCTCAAGTTTCTTCTGTTAATAATTTCTCAAATTAAATGTGGTATTTGTGCAGAGGCTCATGCGACGGAAGATTGTGACTACATGAGAACAACTGAAAAGCCATCAGCATTGGCTAATGAAATCTGGTACGATCAAAAGAACCAGAACAATCCAGGAAGAAACCAATATGGTAATCAAGGGTGGAAAAATCCTAACCAACACCCTGGGTATAGTTACAAATCAAACCATCAGCTGAATCCTCGTATGCCATTGGAACAACAACCTCTACCTCAAGGTACCACTTCAGAATGGGAAAAGGCTTTTGCACAGCTGTCCAAGACCACATCAGACAACATTCAAAATGCAGATGCCTTCAGAGATGAAACACGAGCATCATTTCGGAATCAAGAAGCTTCGATCCGGAACTTAGAGACTCAAAGTGGTCAGCTGTCAAGACAATTTGCTGAAAGAACCCATGGCACCTTCCCAAGTAACACAGATACAAACCCAAATGCTCAATGTAATTCAATTGTTACTAGAAGTGGAATCGTGATCCAACCTGTGGAAAAGCCACCAGTGGAGAAGAAGAAAGAAGCAGAACCTGTAGCTGAAAAGGAGAAAGAAGAAGATGCAGAAGAAGCTGAAAAGAGCAGTCCAAAAAAGAAGCTGTTCAAATAGGAGAAAAAGAAAGCTCTGGACTAGCAACCAAAACTGGCAGATCCATCTCCCTATGCACGATTTTCATACCCACAACGGTTGAAGCAAGAAATCCAGAAAAAACAATACACCAAATTTCTGGATATCTTCAAGAAGCTGCAAGTGAACATTCCATTCGCAGAAGCACTGGAAAGCATGTCGAACTATGCGAAATTCATGAAAGACCTTCTGTCAAAAAAACGCAAGCTGAAGGAGTACAAAACAGTGGCCCTAACTGAGGAATGCAATGCAATCATCCAGAAGAAACTCCCTCCCAAGCTGAAAGATCCAGGCAGCTTCAGTATCCCTATAGCCATAGGAAATATTGAAGTAGGAAAAGCACTATGCGATCTGGGAGCAAGTATAAACCTGATGCCGCTATCCATGTGCAAAGCTCTTGAAATCAAAGAGCTCAAGCCGACTACGGTTTCTCTCCAGTTAGCTGACAGATCAATCAGACGACCAGATGGGGTAATTGAGGATGTTTTAGTTAAAATTGACAAATTTATCTTCCCTGTAGATTTTGTGGTTCCGAATATGGAAGAAGATGCCGAAATTCCCCTATTGCTTGGAAGGCCATTCTTAGCCACTGCAAGAGCAATGATCGATGTGGAGCAATGGAAATTGATGCTGAGGATGAACGAAGAAACAGTCACCATCAATGTCTTCGAATCAATGAAACATCCATCAGACGGAGGAGACTTTTTTATGATTGACATAATACAAGAAGCAGTTGATGACACGATAAAAGAGGAGAGTTCCCCACTCGAGTTAAAGCAAATCAACGAAGAAGCTGAACTTGAAAAATAACCAATGGTGGAAGAACTTGAAAGAAAGAAAGATGACATCCCTCTTGGAGCACCGAAGGTGGAGCTTAAGGAGTTACCTCCAAATCTGAAGTATGCTTTCCTTGGTGACAACAACACTTATCCAATCATCATCTATAAGGAGCTGTCAACCAAAGAAGAAGAAAAACTTCTCAAGGTGCTGAAGAAAAACAAAGTTGTCATAGGATGGTCCTTCTTCGACTTGAAAGGTATAAATCCTTCCTTTTGTACTCATAAATCCTGCCATAGGATCTATTGGTGTTGATGAGCATTCATGTATTTTGTTAGTCTTAAAGCTGGATATATGCAATTTGATATGTATATAAATTATGTTTTGAACTTCAGAGTTATGCGTGTTCTACAGATAGGATTTGACTTAAAAATGGTCAACACAGTATGTATTTCTATAATATTGTTTTGTTGTAAAAAGTATAATAAACTGGGTGTTTTATGGAGTTTAGATGACTCTTGAAAACAAGATTATGAGGTGTCGTGTATATCATCGCATGTTTGCTTGAAAATGATATAATTAGGATTTGTGTTCAATTGAATTAGAATATCATGTCTATGGAAATGTTGAAATTAGATTGGAAGTTCTTAAAATAAAATTAGAATCAGGTGGCGAGGTAAAAATCGACTTGAAGTTCCAAAATTCATTGAGGGTAATACCACTGCTTCCATTAAGAATTTGATCACCATCATATTCTAACCCTTGAGCAGGGAAATACCTTAATTATGAAACATATCATAAAAATAGGTTATGTAGGAAAGAGTAAATTATCAACTAAATTTATGAGCAATCAACATTGCTAATAAAATGATTGTGGGATTGATTTGGTAAGAATAAAATTAGTTATGGTCACTCTTAAACTCTTCTACATAGAATTCTTAGAGAGAACAAGATATCTCCTTATTAGGTAGTATCAACTCTCTTTATAAATGAGAAGGTTGACCGCTGTTGGTGATTGTGTGATTTTGACATTTGTAATTTGTTGCTTTCGCTTTGCAAATTAAGAAATTGTATGGAATTGAAGAACCATAATCTAAAATTTTATAAATTTGGCAAGTTTCTCACTCCTTAGGCAAATTGGACATTCGTCTTTAAAAATTTATATCTTTCGCCTACTTTTCCAAAAATCATGATCAAGGTATTGTCTAGTTTATGGTTTTAAAATATTAAAAATTTTGGGAGCACTGGTTGTTCACAATTCTAGTGTGAAGTAGTAATGCCACATTACTAATTAAGTTATTTCATGACTTTTTGTGTGTACTGTTTTCATTTTTCTTTAGTCGTTGTAGTTGGAAATTCGTGTATGCTCTTGAATATGATTTCTTGGTTATAAATAACAAATGTGGTTATCATGAATTGCTCTTCAACAATTAATTTCATATTAATCTAGTAAATGCTAAGTGTAACCGGTCAAGCTTGACCTGAGGTGTTACACATCATAGGATGCAAATGGATATTCAAGATGAAATATAGAGCTAATGGGATTGTTAAGCATTGTAAGGCCCGATTGGTTGTCAAGGACTACACTCAATTGGAGGGAGTGGACTATTTTTATACTTTCAACCCCGTAGCCTAAATGACTAGCATTCGTTTCCTATTTTCAATCGTTGTTACCAAAAATTAGATTGTAGAGCAATTAGATGTAAATAATGTATTTTTGTATAGACATTTGAATGAGGAGATGTTTATGGATCTACCCTTGGCATTTAATCTCATTCACAAGGGACAATATGCAGACTATAAAAATCCATTTTTGTATTAAAACAAGCCAGCAGGAAATGGCAGTCAAATCGCCAATTTGGATCCTCTTATTTTTAAGTTAGAAGCTACTTATAAGCTAAAATTAAAAAAAAAAAAAGCTTTAAAAAAGAAGCTAAAAACTGTTTGGAAATTACATGAAAATTTTAGCTTAAAATTTACTTAAAAGCACATATTTCAAGAAAATTATCTCTCTCTCTCTATCTTTATCACTCTTCGTTTAAAAAAAAGCACACAATTCAAGAAAAACAGATAAGAGCTTAAAAAAAAGCTCCTCCTAGGAGCTTTTAATTTTCAGCTTTTTTCTTCATTATAGAAAAAAGAATTTTTTAATATAAGAGTTTTTCCCAAAACCTGTTTGACTTAACTTATGCTTATAAGTAGCTTCTAACTTAAAAAAGAGAGGATCCAAACAGGCACTTAGTATCCCTTGATTGTATACAGTCCACGACTGATTACTCCTTGTATACCAAAAGAAACGGCAACTCTGTTACAATCCTTCTGATATATGTTGAAGATATAGTGTTAACTAGTGATAGCCTTGATTATAATAAAAAAAAGCCAAATATAATATTCAAGACCATCATATTAATCTAGTAAATAACAAAAATAAATTTTCATAGTCCATCAAATATTCAACACCATCATTTACTTTCTTATGGACTTACGGGGAAAGTATTTATCATTCTAAAGGATATAAAATTGTGTTATTTTATGTGAAAGAAAGATAGATAAAAGAGGAGAGAGAGTGGGAAAAAAATATAAGAGTAAATACCATTTTCGGTCCTCAGCAAATTTTACGATGCCCGCTTTAGTCCCTAGCAAATAAAAAGGCTATTTGTGGTCCCTAAGAAATTCAAAGTGGACCCATTTTAGTCCTTTTTACGGGGAAAGTGTTTATCATTCTAAAGGATATAAAATTGTGTTATTTTATGTGAAAGAAAGATAGATAAAAGAGGAGAGAGAGTGAAAAAAAAAAGAGTAAATACCATTTTTGGTCCTCAGCAAATTTTACGATGCCCGCTTTAGTCCCTAGCAAATAAAAAGGCTATTTGTGGTCCCTAAGAAATTCAAAGTGGACCCATTTTAGTCCTTTTGAAGGACTAATATGAGTCTTTTTTGAATTTGTGAAGGACTACGATTTCAACTAAATGGGTCCATTTTGAATTTCTTAGGGACCACAAATAGCCTTTTTATTTGCTTTGGACTAAAGCGGGCATCGTGAAATTTGCTGAAGACCAAAAATGATATTTACTTAAAATATATATATGTGGGTCCTACCTCTTTGTGAAAGTGAAATAACATAAATTGTGTCATTTAAAAGGAGAAATATTTTTTCCTAAACTTAATTATAAAATGTTATAATTCAACTAACATTAAGTTTTCTCTTGAACACTTAATTATAACACATGCTAACTAAGTTAAATGTCTCCATCTATTATAATTTAAATTGCATTGAATTCCTTCGATATTAATGGAGGACTAAAAATTTTCGTGGAGTGGATGCCACGCCGAATATATTTGTCTTTTTTTATTCTTAAATAAAATTAGGAAATAGAAAATAACATTAGATCTGATCTGTAAAGTCTCAAACGCTAATTTTTTGTCCGTTCATCTCCCTTAGCCCACAGCAAACATAAGAAACCAGCTTCACACCAAACCGAAGGTAACAAGTAGGGTGGTGGTATTGGTCACGACCAGGTTCACCTCTCGGCCTTACCATACCACTGTACATAAAAACAACCTTCAAATTAACAAAACTTACAATCAAATTTTTGAAAGGTAAAAATAAAAATAAAAATAAAAATTGAGGGTTTTCTTTTCGGATATACTCCTTCATCTGTACGATCCTGTTTTCCATTATCCACAACTTGAAAGTCAGCATCTGCATCAATCACAATTCTTTCTTCACTTTCCAGATCTATGCCGTTTTTGCGGCTATTACTACCTCGTCGTTTCGATCTACCGGTTGCCGTTTCCATGGCTCGTGACGCAGCACCACCTCGTTTCCGTTTAGATCGCGTGATGTAACTTTCGAACCTAACCTTTTGCTTCGAAAAGCATTCGAAACGGAACAAGGATCTTTCTTCGATTCTCTTTGTGCGTTTGTTAGCGTTTTCTTCTTCACCTGAAAAGAAAAGAAAAAAACTCTTCTTCACTAAATCGTTGTCTCCGATTGATTGATTTTTGCTTCGAGTATGGATTTGGACGATTTCCGATCCATATTGGAGACGGCTGGCGTCGACGTGTGGATGTTCATTGACACCGCAATCGCCGTCGCTTCAGCCGATTACGACGGCGAATTGAAGCACCGGAGAGACGGAATCGTCGAGCGCCTCTACGCCGCGACTTCCGCTCCACCGCAGTGCCGGAATTGCGAAGGAAACCACCGTCTCAATACCAATGGCCACCAAGTGAAGAAACAGAGCAGCCCTAGCCCCAGCCCTGAACGACAACAACAACACCAACACCAACATCGTGGTGCCTCTTCCCCCGCAACGCCGCAGTCTCTCGGAAACGACAACGACAACCACGACGAGTTAGATCCTTACGGTGGCTTGTTCGATGATGAGCAGAAGAAGATTCTAGAGATTAAAGAGCAACTCGAAGATCCTGACCAGGTATTGTTTAATTGCTGCTTTTTAGTTAGATTAGAAGCTTAATTTGGAGTGACTTAGCTTATAATGACTTTTTGTTTTGTTTTTCTTCTTTTTCAGTCTGAAGATTCTTTGGTGGAGTTGCTGCAAAATCTTGCGGACATGGATATCACATTCCAAGCGCTGAAGGTAAATTGTGTTTTGGATCGAAATTTTTTTTTTTGTCTGTGTGATATTCTTTGATGGTTTGTTTTGCTTCACGTGTTTGATTCCTGTAGGAGACTGACATAGGAAGGCACGTGAATCGGTTGCGAAAGCATCCCTCCAATGACGTTCGGAGATTGGTGAAGCTTCTTGTCAGGTTTCGGAAGGACATAGTTCTTTTTTTGTTTTTTATTTTTATTTTTGCTGAAATTAATGTTGTCGTATTTGAATGCATTGTTGCTTCAGAACAATTGGTGAAAGCTGCAATGTTTTTGGGGTTTGTCGTGAGAAGATTGATTGACTTGGTTCAGTTGTGTTATTTGCAGGAAGTGGAAGGAGATTGTAGATGAGTGGGTGAAGCTGAATCCACAAAGAGGAAGGAGCACTCTCATGGGTAATATTAACTTAACCTTTGGGAAGTTTTCTGGGAAGCTAAAAAGTATAAATGAAAGGGTATCTTCAAGTGCAGTTATTAATGGTAATTAATAATAATAATAATAATAATAATAATGTTGGTATGGCATTGGCAGCTGATGGAGATTCGCCTCCCCAGAAAACCACCCTAAACGGGCATCATCCTCAGGTCAAAGAAATCTTTTTTTTCTTGTGCTTTTCTATGGGAAAGTTGAGGGAGGATTTGTTTTGGCTTTGCTAATATTCTATTCATTTGCAGATTCCTGATTTTGCTAACTCGCCAAATCCACATAGTGAGCATAGCATCTGATTCAATTATTATTCCTTTGGATATCTATTTTTGCATTTGGTTGATTTGCATTTGTGCTGGCACAGATGGGAGTTCTGGGTCTGACCGCAACAACTCTGAAGCAGAACTAAAACCAAAACCAAAAGTAATTCATCGCAATGAAGCTCTGCCCAAATCAACGCCATCACCATCAGTTCCTACCCCTGCTTCTGCCCCTCTAAAAGTACGGATATGATTCTATAACCATTTTGGAGATGACTATGGTTGCTAAAACCTCAAGTTTGAAAACATAATATGAAATCAAAATGCAATAAATGTGGAGCTTAAGTAAGAGTGTCTTAGGACATTCTTATTAATCTCCAAAAGTGTTATAAGTGATCCTGACACAGGGCTGGATGATTGCAGAGACAGTTAGAACATAGAGAGAGCAATTTTGATGCGGAGAGACTTGCTTCGGCAAGAAGACGGCTCCAAGAGAACTACAAAGAAGCTGAAAATGGTGGAATTTTCTTTTCCATAATTTCATTTTCATGCTAAGTTCTCTATATTATATCTAACTGACCGTAATTTTGGGTGTTTTTATGCCGTGTCTAGCCAAAAAGCAAAGAACGATTCAGGTGATGGACATCCATGAATTACCAAAGTCAAAACCCAAGAATGCCTTCTTTGGAAAGAACAAAGGCGGTGGTGGTTCTCAGGGAAGGCACTGGTGATACATGTTACATAATTGGTGCCATTGTACGTGGGAAAAAAGGCTTGTGGGGGGTGCTGGAGAAAGTCCTAAACCCGGTTCATCCCTGTTGATTTTTCCTCCCGATGATAAACCTATTCTTTCTTGTGGCTTTTATTTACTTAAACTAATAAATGACCGAAGGAAAAAAATCACAATATTTTTCTTTTTGAAAGGGTACTTACCAACCACCAACTTTTGTCGGTATGTTGAGGAGCACATGATTTCAGGAATTAGGATGGGGATGGGATTGATAGTGCCGTGGTGTAGGTTGAAAAAGGGTTTTCCCTAAAGATTTTAAAACGTTTTTTCGGGTTGAAGTTTTAATTTAAGTATATTGGTTTTAATGGATGGCTTACTCTACTAAGGTCTTTTAACCTTTTTGTCAAAGAAAACTGCCAATGAAGTCAAGAAAGGATCATCCTTAACAATATATCCGGGGTCGGGTCTGGTGGGTGGGAATTTAGTTGTCGTTGCAATATCTTCTTGAGTCGTGACGGTGTGAAGTTGACACGTGCTCACTGGGAATATTTTTTTTTTCTGATTCGGCTCATCTCTTGGGCTTGGTAATTGCGCGTATCTGTAGGGTCGTGTTGGGTTATTAAGTATGTCAAACCTTTATTGATTTTATTTTCAGTAACTTTTCTTAAAATTTTGAATTAAGCTAAAATGTTTGGTTTTAAGGAAATTAAAAAATGGTGATTGGTGAATTCAGTTATTTTAAAATTGATCAATTTATTCTTTAGTTAAATATTTCATTTTAATTAATGTTTTGTGAAAATTCTCCTTTCAACAAGTTGAATAGATGAATTTATTAATTGAGATTAAGAATATAAGTTCAGATAAGATTTTTGAACTTGGCTTGTATTAGTGATAAGCCTAATCCACTAATAACATTGCTTAGGTTTCAAATGCGAATTTTTTTTTTTTTTTTTTTGAAATGAATGAAAAGAGTGCATTTCGGCTTTGTCATGTATTCATGCTAAATAATTGCACCAAAATTTCGGGGACGATTATTTAAGGATGATTACATTATTCATGAGATTAGATGATATATACTGTTTTAGGGGGGAAGGGCAGGGAGGCAATTGGGATAAAGGGAATATTTATAATTTCGCGACGAATAAAAGTGAGGTCAGAAAAATGCAGTGTACTTACGCTATTTACTTTTCGCACAAAATTCATTAGTAAATTGGTATAATTTTATTCACTAAAAAAAAATTGGTATAATTTTTTATTTGTAAAACTTCAATAAATTGGTACAATTTTTCTCAGTATGATCAAAATTTAATTACACTGAAAATGCCAATATATTTTATAAAAAAACAATAATTACATACTGTTTTTTCAAATTAAATCTTTAGATGATTGAAAACTACTCTTTTAAATAATTAAATAAAAGGTTCGTTTTTTCTGCAGTTACTGCAGATAAATTATCTGCAGTAAATCCAATACGACGTCATTTTGGGGTAGAAATCATGATGTTTTTGTAATTTTAATTTATTTCAGGATTATAATAGTCTTTCTATTTTTAATTTTTTAAGATTTCAATATCAAAATGATGTCATTTTGGGAATAAATGCAGATAACTTATCTGCAGTAACTACAAAAATATTTTTCCCTTAAATAAAAGAGTTCAAGATATAAGTTTTATAACTTGCGTTTTATTTTGAAGGCGCAAGAAATTCTTTTTTTTTAAAAAAATCTTATTCATTAAAAATTGTTTTAAATTTCATCAATTTCCTAAAGTTATGTAATATGCTTTTATGAACAAATAAAAGTTTAAACTATTTGATCACATAATTATTTGTATTACTTTTTAAATTGTATATAACATATATAATATAAATAATGTTGTAAAATACAAAATTTATGGATGACTTGAATTTTGAATTATGTGATCCATGACACTAACAGTACAATTCTTGCTCATTTATATTTTTGTAACCACTATACTAATGGAGTATCAATTCTCATTCATGGTTGTATCCCTATATATTAATGATGCTTGTCTTGGAACAAGGTTGATCAAATGAGAATCAGAATTCTACCCTACTTCTCTTTGTCTTTTCTCGTCTTTCTCTCTTTGTCTTCTCTTTGACTTTGTCTTGTAATATGTCTCTCCCTCATCCCTCTCCTTTCATTTCATAACACGTTATCAGCACGAATCGCTCTCTATGAAAATCTACATTTCAAAACCATAGCCTTCTACAAAAAAAAAAAAACCTCTTGCAACAATTGTTGAAAAACGTCTTCAGAAAGAAAAAGAAGAAGAAGGAAACAACCATTTGCCACAAATGCATCTACCATATATGATTAAAAGGTTTCCATTAAAGTAATTTTTGTCTACAAAGTAGGTATTTGGTTTGTATTCATTTGTGCTTTCTCGTATTGATTTCTAATTCTTCTTCTCCTACCCATTATCATTTTTATTTATGCACCTGCAGTGCTATTGGTTATTCGATAAGAAATACCATCATACTCCTGAAGTAGCAATGAATGTTAAAAAGTCCTTGTTGATTATTTGACTGCCTATATCCTCTTGTTCCTGAAGTAGCAATTAGTGTTTGATAATCCTTATTATTGATTTAAGGATTTAAGGATTTTTTTTGTTATATAATAGCAAATGTTGGAAAACCAAAATTCCACATCCTTGAGGTGAGTGGAAATAATTTTATTTTAGACTCGTTGGTTTAAAAGAAAATCAATGAACCACTGTCAAAATATCATTATGTTAGAGTTGTTGATTTAAAAGCATTGCTTGAAGCAAATGCCAATTCTTTGAAAACCCTAGCCATTTTGAGGGCTATAGCGTAGACAATGATATAACCCTTGAATAGATGGTAGAAAATCTTACTTGCGTCAAATCATGGCAAAAAAATATGGCTGATGAAATGAACGGGGCCAGTTAAAACAAAGACAAGAATGGTGAATCTCATACCATTGAAAATAAGCCTACAACCATAACCATAACTGAGGAAAACAATATCTTTGTTTATTATTTCTCCTAAAATAGCGTTAATATTTTAAAACGTTGGTTAATATATTGTCAAACAATATCTTTATTGATTATTGTCACTCTACGAAAAGGACATGCGGTGTTTATTGCTTCTGAAGTAGCAAAATATTTATATTAATGCTTCTTATTTTTTTTCTTATTAATGTTTATGCTTATTTTGTTTTATATTGATTTTATTCATTGTTTGATTATTTTTTATCACCTTCTTTATATTATTTCTAGTATAAATATTTTTTTATACTTCATGTACGAAGATTTTATTGTCGAATATTATTGAATAATATGATTTTTGTCTCAAAATTGTTAATTTTGCTAACTTCTCGAAGAAGTTATATTTTATGCATCCCAGAAGAATTACACAAAATAAATCATTTTTCTTGGTCATCATTTTTTAAATTTTTGCAAAGTTCTTGAAGTACTATAACTTTAGACCATGAGAGGAAAAAAATTAACTGATTTTTGATTAATTTTAAATAAAAACATTGAGAGATAACATTCTATATACTTTTACTATGCATCTTGAATATGCTCCTGAAGTAGTCATTTCGAGAAAATTGGTGCCAAAAGTCTGACCAATGGGTTTAACCTCATTCCCAAAAGTGAATGTTCTAAATTATAATTTCAAACATGACAAAATTATGGTTATACCCAATGATAGTATATATGACTAAAACAAGTGCTGCAAACTTGATTGGGGGCTCCAAAAGAGCTTAGATTATATTACTTTAGAGAAACAATCAAGGAACAAAATAAGCTTTCCCAGAAGGAGTATGCTCGAGCAAATATTTTGTTGTCATCATTTCTATGGTGATCATAAAGCCAAATATTTAGTGGCAAAAGATTCATTAGTCTTTACAATGTTTTGAATATTTTCGAAAATTAAATTACTGATGAAGACATGTTAGAGAAAATATTTTATGCTTTTATGCCACAGATATGCTCCCGTAGTAGCAGTATTGAGATCACGATTTCAAGTTAATATCATGCTTCATATTGTCACACAAACTTTTATGAAAAATACTTAATTACGACCAATTATTTTTATTTCATTCTTTGAAGTGAATGTAATATCATTACATAATCACAGATGTGGAATAACTACTATCACGGGCATGGCTATAACAATAGTTGGCATCATGATGATCCTAGAAGAGCTAGTTATTCAGATATGTTGATTTAATGGATCATTTCTCCCATTATTACGGGAAGGAAATAGTAAAAGGACAAAATCACATAGAATATGTTGAAATAGACCAAACACTTCTGAATCTAGTTATATGTCCAAATTATTATGAACTTGAAGTTCAAACAATTATTCACTTGTAGAATATTGCAAATCATTGTGAATATCCTTGTGCAATTAATTATCCCTAAAGGGCATCATATGAATATAAGGACTAGTGACTCTAAAGTACACAAAGGATATTGTTCCTTCACTAAAGGAAATAAAAAGCGACACTCTTGAAGAGGTCAATGACAGAATGCCAACTTCATAATCCTATAAAAATGACCCCAGAAGTGGTCACAATATTGGAAAATTATGAGACCTCATTAAACTTTAGAAATATAGCGAAAAGATATAAATTAATGATCTAGTACACGTCATTGCTTCTAAAAATGACCATAAACCTGAAGTTCACTAGCCCATATGCTTTTAAGCATATTCTCCTCTTCAACGTGTACGTGGATGTGAACTTAATGTTTCCTACCTACACTTTTTTGGTTATATTATATATGTCCCCACACTATAATAACCCTAATTCATAAAATGTGAAATTGCATTGGATTAATTATTTAATCATGCATAATAAAGATTAATTAAGTGAAAGGCTTAATTAAATTGAATAAATTCTATGTGAGGTTTGTGAGGGAAACAATCATTTAAAATGGTTAGGTTTGGTTAAGTGAGGAAATGAGAAAATATAATAAAAATCCTTGTCAACTACTCCTCGCTGGCATGCTCGTTGTAGTGAGCTATTCAGCGAGCGTTGTACTTGCTCGTTGGTGTAGCTCATTGAAGTGAGGAGCCCAACGAGTAGACACATGTTTTGTTAAAATTAGATGAAAACACACACCTCATTCGGAAACCACCCTCTCCAAAATAGAGACAACCATTTTTGAGTGAGGAGGGCTTGAAAAACTCTAAGAGAGCTAGAGTGTATGAAATCACTTGGTTCTAACTTTAAAAGTGTGTAGAATCACTAGGAGAACTCAACCTACAAAAGAAATCCCTTTGAAAACCATTGAGTGGGGAGATTTCCTCTTATGAAAGTGGTGCCCCATACTTGGTAAAGAGGCTCGGATAGTTGCATTACTTCATTG